TGAATCAGTAGATAAGTGGACACTGAGAGGGCGGGACAAAAATCGATTTATTGCGGCCGGGAGATGGAGAGATTTGTGAACTCTAAGCCCAATCTTGGCCATATGATACCACAGAAGAAGAGTGTTGGTCTCGCATTACAGTCATAAGTGGTTCATTACAGGATCCACCCTATATGAACGGCATTAGCATTAACAGCTAAATCCATTTAGCGTAGATTATAGGAACAATCGCCTCCCAGGGGGTAGAGGGTTCTAAGAGCGTCGTTCTTTCAAGGAACGCGTTTATTGAGCGAAAACCACCGGTTCAGCATTTCGCAAAGATAAGCAGCGGTATTCCACCACATTAGCAGAAAAGAAACGAGTGACATGGCATGATACGAAACTTAGACATGGTCAAATGCGTCAATGGGGGTCGTTTTTACAGGTGTGAACACTGAAGAAAAGGTATCTTGACTTAAGACTGTGAGTGAGGTCATCTGTTTGTTTCCGTTCTTAAGTAAGAATATCACAACTGCTCTGAGCAGATAAGTCCAAGGCGGATTTTTGGGCCACATTAGGTTGGTGCTGGAGCATGTGAGGCAATCTCTCAAAAAACTCATCTGAACATGGATTGTGCCACCGGACAAAGATCCAAAACACACAGGCTACGAAAGAATGGCTCAAAAAGAGATGGATGTTTTGGAACAGCAGAGTCAAAGCAGAAACCTAAATCCTATCAATATATAATCGAGGACTGAAATTGGGCCAGGCAAGAAAGCCTGAACGTGAAACCACTGAAGCAGTAAATCTGTTGGGAAAGTAGCATTTAATTTTTAGAAGGCAGAAGATTTCAGTCACCCTCATATAGTCAATATTGGGTAGACACGCCTTTGGCAGCAGAAGTCTATTTGAATAATCTCAGCACATCTAGAAACAGCAATGTTTGACCATTCTTCTTTGCAAAATTGCTCAAATCCCACCAAGTTGGGTCTGGACCTTTGGCAAACAGCAACTTCTAACTCTTTTCACATATTCTCAATTGGACAGAGGTTCAGGAATCGACTGGGCCACTTCAGAACACATACCTTTTGAAGTGGCTGTATTTTTGGTTTTAGACCTCGACTCAAATAATTATGAGACACCTAAAGACAATTCATCACACCACAGCTTATTGGTTTTAATCTTACATTGTAACGTAAAACGTGGAAAATGTATGACTGGGTTGAGGACTTTGTCCTTTGTTGCAGCTTACATCAACCTTCTTAAAGTCACATTTATTTTGGTGAAAAAAAAGTGTTTAATGAGACACACTTTGCAGTAGTTGATACGTGACCGTTGTTGTTGCTGCTTTTAAAGAGTTATCCGAAACATCTCGAATAAGACATTTTAATAATCAACATGCTAAAGAGTAGCTCAAACGTTTATTTTGGAAAAGACTAATGAAATGTCAAAATTTAAATTTACACAACATTACTGTATGAGCCTGAAAGTCAGCTGTAAAAAAACCCTGCAAACAATGCCTCAGCTGATCAAAAAATCCAACGCAATTAACCATTTTTAAACGTTCAAGCAATTCTGTAAAAAATAGCAATAGGGGCACACAGTAGAGGCCATGAGCCACTAAAACAGACACGGAAACAAAAAAAACATTACAAGAGCAACAACATTCTACAAGAATTTAGAAATAAATTAAAGCGACAACAAACGCTGGAACATGGCATGCAGCAGAAGAGTAGGCAGCTGAAGAAAGAAGAGTCAACCAGTCCCCAACAGTTAAACGAGAGCACACACACACACACACACACACACACACACACACACAGACACAGACACAGACGACACACACACACACACACACACACACCATAGAGTCTTTCTTCAGTCTTCGTTTGCTTGTCGAGTTGGACGGTGAAAATCTGATGCTGCTTGCAGAACAGTGGGCTAAACCCGTTCAGGATGTGCAGAGAGCAGACAAACTCAGCATCAGAGGGACGTCCCACAAGAGTGGTTTGCAACAGCGCAGAATAACAAGTGGACGTCCACGCTTCAGGCAGTCATTGCATCCGGGGCGGCCTGTCCACAGCCCGAGGAATATGCAGTGAAGCACCGGCCTGATTAGAAGACCTGTCTGTTCCTTCCGACTGGCCTCGGGAACACACCTGACCAAATGGTCGCATACCTCGGGTTGAAGACGGCAATAGAGCACAAGGAGGGAGAGGGTTCACTCTCAGAGGCTAAGCAGAAGCCGTTGGGTTGCTGAGCAGAAGCAGAAGAGTCTGCTGAGAAGGGGGCGAGGCTTTGCTGAGCAGAAGAGTCTGCTGAGAAGGGGGAGAGGCTTTGCTGAGCAGAAGAGTCTGCTGAGAAGGGGGAGAGGCTTTGCTGAGCAGAGGAGTCTGCTGAGAAGGGGGCGAGGCTTTGCTGAGCAGAAGAGTCTGCTGAGAAGGGGGCGAGGCTTTGCTGAGCAGAAGGGGAGGTTTGCTGAGCAGCAGCAGCAGGTTGGCACTCTCCTCCTAGCAGTAAAGTTCAACGCAAGGTGGTTGGAGGCACGGCTGGTAAACAGCCTTAGTAAACGGCTCGACGCTTCACACAGTGGTGGGCCTCTGACGCAGACACATATGATGTGTCTGGGAAAAAGTCATCGTGGAACTCCGCCAAAAACCTGGGGAGCAGAAAGAGGGACAGGAACATTAGACAAAGATGGAGAGAGATAAAGACAAGTTCAGAATCATAGCAGCCGCCTCTGAAAACCACTGTCAACAAACAGGGTGGTGGGGAACATAGGAAATGCAGCAAAGCGTGGTTGTTACAAGCCAGTGACTCGGCATTCCCAATCCCAGGGTCGTCCTTCTATCAGGGTCTTGTCAACACTTTACCCCCACCAGGCTTTCAGTCAATTAGTGTATTCAGCGGCTGGCCTTAAATAACCCAATTCGACAGAATTGGAGAGGAAAATGTCCCCCTCTAATCAGTAGGAAAAATAATCCGGAATGTTCTTAGTACCGGCTGCTGGGACAAATCCCTGAATCTTCCCATCGCATCTTAACTCTACCGGCTCTTATCTGATGGCAAACAAATTATCCACATCAGTGAGAGAAATTAGGAGCCGATTTAAACGCGGACTAATTGCCATTGCGGTAATGGCAACGTTTGATATTTTACTGGTTGTCAATTGACTTTTATGGTGGACCATCAGCGATACGGAACAGTTTTACAGAAGTACAGCCGGACAAACACAGGCTGCCTCATTCCTACACAACACCAAGACACAGTAGGCAGCGAAACCCTCCCTCCCACAGAAACACACCACACGATTAATCTCAATCATTCTTCCAGCGATCGGTCCGTGTGCCCAATACCAGCATGCACCTCTTTGCTCCGCTACAGGCAACATCCATACAGTCTCTTATATGCCTTTTTTCCCTCCTTTTCCTGGTCATAATTCATGGCACAACATCAACATTATCCGTAAGTGGCCTTGGACGTGAGGTAAAGTCAGATCCCATCAGTCCCATCAACAGAGGGTGCGGCATCGAACATGATTTGTTGCTCATACAGCTGTCAGTGTAAATATGAAGGGAAGAAATACCAGAGATTCTCCATTCCAGCATTGCTGGACGTCATTTAAACACCAGGAACACCAGGTAAACTGACCACCAGGTAGAATAGAAAACCACCTGTCTTAAACTACTGAGATCCAGCTGTGCACCCCTCCCCCCACACAAATTCTACACACGCTTGTGTGGAACGGCGCATGTTGGTGGCCGGAGGGGGAAGTACAAGCATTTAATTAATAACAAGGAGAGAATAAATCCCCTAGGTTTGAGGCCAGCTGAAGATCGCTGGGCAGGATTTAAAGATTACAGTTCCAGGCTTGTGTAACGCCCACCCATCTCTCTTCACTTCAACGTAGCCAGTCACACACACACACACACACACACACACACACACACACACACACACACACACACACACACACACACACACACACACACACACACACACACACACACACACACACACACACACACACACACACACACACACACACACACACACACACACACACACACACACACACACACACACACACACACACACACACACAGCCCTAGGCACAAACACCTCGAGCCATCATTATCAGATCTCACCACGACCCCCCATCCCCCCCATTAGATTACGACGGAAATTACTGAGGCGCGGAACCAGCTTAGAGCACAGGAGGCACTTCTAGTACTGCGTGAACTGAACAGATGACTGACAGAGAGAGGAACTGGAATATGGCTAAAGTATTACACTACCATGAAGCTAGCTGCCCTGTTGCATAACCAGACACACAGGGGAATGGGCCAATTCTGGAGCAATAGAAACACACCTGTCCACTGCATTATCATTATAAAACTAGGCTAATGTTCCCGTTATGTCACATTAAACTGCACTGTACGCTCCAACATGCTAAGCTAATGTCAATGGAAAACCACTCACCGTGCGAGCTAAGTGAGTACGCCCTGAGAAGTGCTGACACGGGCACTATGGCGTCGGGTGCCGTGATTAAAGAGGATCCATAATGGAACTGTCATCGGCACGGCAACCAAATGGCAGCATGTCACGCCCAGCGAGGTGGCTGGCCCAATCAGTCCCTATGGATGCAACATGAGTGCAGTATCCGAGGGAAACATGCCTCTGGGCAGTAAAGCAAAACAAGTTTATTCTGCTAATTTATTGAAGGAAAAAAATTGTATCTCTGGTAGATAAGTACTCCAATCATTTATTCAGTACTCTGTAAAAGTGCCTTCGACAGCAGTGAACAGCCATCTGTAGGTCTCGCCGCAGATATTAAATTGGGCTTTGGAATTTGGCTGGGCCACTCAAGGACATTAACAGACCTGTCCCAAAGCTACTACGGTGTGTGTTTGTGGGAGTTTGCTTTGGCTTCGCATAATTCGACAGTTTCTGGGATTTTTTATTTTTATTTAACCAGGTAGGCCGATTGAGAACAAATTCTCATTTGCAACATCGACCTGGGGAGAAGCTAGGTATTGAACCCAGGACATCATACACACAAAGCATGCACTCTAACACTGAGCTACACCCACTCCTCCAGCAGGAAATAGCATATTAAATACATGTGCCTTTTAAAATCACATCCTATCAGTTGAATTGGCCACAGGTGGAAACCAATGAAGCTGTAGGAACTTCAGCTCAATTTGGAGTGTCATGGCAACGGGTCGGAGGTTGTGCTGCGAACTACAACAATTCTGATTATTGATTAGTTGTTGCAGCCCAAGTATGATAAGATATAATATCTTAGCCTGTCACCCGACAGAATTCAGACATTTTAAAAGACTACCTCAATGTTGAAAATAAAGGGGGGGGGGGACGCCGTAACTGTCACTAGCGCCTCTATTTCAGATAGCTGCCTCATTTTGCTCTCCATAGACCATGCGCTTCTCAGGCTCCAATGACAAAAGTTCACCCAACTAATTCATAGTAAAGTTTTTATTTATACAGCCGGCTGTATGGGTGCAAAATAAAAGAAATATGTCTAAGAAAACCCACCTGCATACATTTGTTAAATGACCGCAACGGTTCTGGCCTTGTCCGGATATGGGTCTGAATGAGACACAGTCTCCGTTTGTGTGTACAGAACAGCCACCATTGGTTATAAAGAATACAGAAGCTACCTGAGGAACAGCTGCAGGTGTTTGACCAACGCGCTCAGGTTCTTCTCTGGGATGTGCATCTTCCCCAGGATCTCTGGCAGCTTCACTGTGTGAGGACAACGATGAACATTTGCAGCGAGTCAGAGCGGCCGGGAGTTAAAGCATAGCCAAACTCCTAAAAACCCTGCCGGCAAACACTCACCGAAGAGGCGTAGGAGGTGCTGGGACCCGTAGAGGTAGGAGGGAGGGAGGGGCTGATCACTCTGGGGGTAGTTATCGGGCGTCAGCTTCCAGCTCAGCACCTCGTTGAGTTCGTTGTTCCGTCGGCTCTCCAGACCGGAGAACACACTGCCGCCCTCCTTGCTGGGCGTCAGCGGCTGAGGAGAGGATGACCCGCTGTGGACTGGGGTCTCTAGAGGGAACGGACAGGCATTTACGTGGGCACACTCAGCCTACAACAACAACATTAAACGTGTGAAGAACCCGAGAAACTGTGAGCCGATTGGATTTCTGTGGTAGGGTGCCTACTATGCAGCAGAAGCAGGATAACGGCGCCCTCTAGAGGGCACTCTCAGTCATCACACCTCACACAAAGAATATGACCAGGCAGACAATACAATGGAATCGAAAAACTCACTCTTCTCCAGGTTGAGGAAAAACTTGGGCAGCTGCGCCGGCGTGTCAAAGCTGGAGAGGCGGCGTTTGGGTTGGGGAGAGGCTGCGGCGCTGCCCCCCTCACTGGCCAAGCGTTCCCCCCCGGAGGTGTGGCGCGTGGAACGCCGCAGGGACTGGGGGGCGTCCGGGTCGGTGGCCGCAGACGTGCAGCGGCGACGTTTGGGCGTGGTGGCCGTGGAGGCCTCGCTCAGTGCCGGCTGGCTGTCTGTAGACTGGGGGGTGGAGGGGTTGTGGCCTGTGGGGCTGGGAGTTCGCTCACGTGAGGCCCTGGAGCACGGAGGAAGAAGGGAAAGGGTCAGAGGCACCACAGAGGGCAGTAATGACATCCAAATCTAACAAACCCAGGAGACGCAATGCAAAGTCACTGGACTTTATTCCCAAAAACTGAACCGAGGGCAACGGGACGTTACCCAGACGTTCTTCGCTTGGTTTCATTTTGTCTCCCGCTCAAAAAATTACAAAAGCTAGCATTTACAAATAGAACGACCCACGTCTGTCTTACTTGTTGCAATTACTTGTGGCGGCGTCTCGGACTGGCAGGAGCAACTTGGAGGAGCTGACTTTCTTGAACTGAGCATGCTCGTTGGGATACAGGAGGATCATGGGAAGCGTGAAGTCAAACGTGATCCTCAGACCATCTACCATCTCCTTGCAGAGCTCCTCGCTGGAACAGAGAGTTCGATATCACAACAAAAATCCTGTACATTATTATGTGACTAGAGGTCGACCGATTATGGTTCTCAGGCCGATGCCGATTTTTTGAAATCCAGGTCGGCCAATGGCCGATTATTATGGCCGATATGTGCTGGTTTTTATCCTCTATTTGCAAGATAAAAAGTAACACTAATTATTACTTAAGAATAAAGACATAGAATTTTTTAAACAAAAATGTTTAATAAAAAATATATAATATATTATATTGAATAAAAGAAAGAGGTAACAAGAAAAACTTTGATGAATGAACTTTTCAATAAAAAAAATAGCTAAGTGCACTAAGCAGCATTTAATTACAACACCCGAAAACCTTTAAATAAATCATGTCTTGCCGCTCTTAGAATATACTTTGACGAGTGTACTGATGCATTTTGAGATTAAAACATTTGAAAAAGCTATTAAAACACCAATCTGTAATCTATGTTATATAGATAGTGCAGCTCTGGGTGTTGCACTTTTACGTTGGTCCATAACTACTCTGTTTACCGAGCGCTACAGTATTTCCTATCTATGTTATAGTTAGTGCAGCTCTGGGTGTTGCACGTTTACGTTGGTCCATAACTACTCTGTTTACCGAGCGCTACAGTATTTCCTATCTATGTTATAGTTAGTGCAGCTCTGAGTGTTGCACCTTTACGTTGGTCCATAACTACTCTGTTTACCGAGCGCTACAGTATTTTCTATCTACCGGTATGTTATAGTTAGTGCAGCTCTGGGTGTTGCACGTTTACGTTGGTCCATAACTACTCTGTTTACCGAGCGCTACAGTATTTTCTATCCGTTTTTCCGACTCGGCAGTCAGTCCATGGATGTATTAAGAGAACCGCTGTGCCGTATCCCCGGAGCTGGCGAATGTGCGAATATAAAACTATCTTTACCGCGGTTCCACAACAACAACACTATGCTGCACGCGCCTGCCTATTAATCGGCTTTATGTACTTGAATATCGGCCGATACCGATTATGTAAAAAACACAAAAAAATCGGCCGATCAATCGGTCGACCCCTATATGTGACCAATTGAAAAAGTAACAGATGAAGTCAGGAAAAAAGGAGCCAGTGGGTGGAAAAGGTAAAGAAAAGGAAAATGTACTACTGAAGACTGACTTCTTCTCCGGAGGAACGTAGTGAGGACTAAGACTGGTCTGGGCGGTGCTTTGGTGACTTCTGTAGCGCTCGTTGGCTGAGAAGGCAGCGTTGATGGCAAAGTGCTTCACATAGGATTCCAGGATGGTTACAATATTCATCTGGCACGGAAGCTTCACCAACTGGGGAGGAAACCAAACCCGCATGACCACAGCTTATTGGCAGTTATATGCCCCTGTCAGTTTGACATCTATCAGCAAGACATTGGTAACAGAAAATGTCAACTCAGTTTTAGATTCAGAAACACAGCAAGCAACTACTCGTTTCCAAAATCCTTTTTTCTGCTCATACGACACTAACGTCTTGGATCAAAGTGAAAATGATAGGTACACAGTAAAAAATCAGAAAGGCTGACTTGTTGTTTTTTTTTTTAAATGCCCCACCTTCTTCCTCTTGTTGATGTAATAGCAGTCGTCCTCTAGTTTCTTCTTGAGAACCTCTGGGATATCTATGTTGATAGTCTTGTCCTCGCTCTCCCTCTTAGCATGAGATTCCTGCTCTTCCTGCTGGAAACCAAACAGTCACCTCAAGTTATCACCGACAAACACAAGTGACCATTAACTAGATCATGTGACTAATTACCTTTCAAATACATGCAAACAGTCCTCCCAGTACAAATATGAAGAGAACGCATGACCTTGTCGACACTGGGACGGAAACTTAATTTTGTTGGTCATGCATTGAGAAAGGCCGAATGTTCAGTCGTACTGGATAACTCAAATGAATTACCATTCTGTCCAAATCTTCAGAGGAGTCGCTCTCCTCACTTTTTAAAGACTCTGGATCTTCTGAATCGCCCTCGTTGCTGTTGTCAGAAGACGAAATCAAACCTGGAAGGAAACGCGCAGTTTGTTAAACGCAATGAAACGCTGAACAATATTGCATTAGCACAAGTTTGGGCATGTTGGAACAGACCAACTCACACGCGTCATCGCTCTCTTCCTTCTCCTCTTCTGGAAGTGTCTTCAGAGTAGATTCAACACCGGGCAGACGGCGACGCCTCTTCCCCCATCCCCTTCTCCTCCTGCGGGGTTAGGTGCACACGGTAAGGGCACCTCCACCAAAAGCCTTGGCAACAGGCGGAATTGTGTGCTCTTCTCAGACAGAGTGAAACTTACATGCGAGCCACAGCTTTGCGAGCCAGTTTACGTTGCAACTTGCGATTCTCGTCGGTTTCCCTGAGCACATGGTCCTCAGCAGCCAATCGATCCCAACTGTCACAAAGAAGATATCAAGGACAGCGTTGCAGCTCCGCCAAACGTTTAATTCAATAACAGTTTAGGTAAGAGCTTATATAATCCCACACCATGTGACAGGACAGGGGCTTAGGAAACTGTGTAGGATGTTTATGTGTGTAACTAATGCCCCATACCTGTCCCACCGAACCCATGGCTTCCCAATTACCAGAGATACCAGAGCCCCCCTCCCTCTGGCAGCAACCAATGACCTCCTTCAAACCATCACCGTGCGGGATTACCTTCGGTTCCAACCATTGAAGTGAATCAAGTACTCTGGGATTCTCCTTCCCCGCTCATCTTTGCCAATTACAACGTCAACGACCTGAAACATACAATTTAAAATGTGTGTTTGTCACCGAATCATGACCAAAGACACTGCTAGCTAGTATATGTGAACAACCTACAGTAAAATTCAGTACAGCTACTCTGGCTAATTCAACGAGAGGATAGCTGATGATATAGTTTGATGATATAGTATAATTAAGTGTTGCCTCCTTGCACATTGCTTTATGACTGCCGTGGCTAGGTGTTTACTTAGCTGGCTAACCAACCAGGTTACTTGTTAATAGAAGTAATAAAAGAGGCTGAACAAACAGAATTATTATTATTAATGAACTTGATTGAATATATTTAAATCAAGATTAATAATAATGATGATATC